CACACACACACACACACACACACACACACACACACACACACACACACTGAGTTGTATTATGGCCATTTGGTTTGGATGAATGATCATTCTCATGGTTGCATTTTGAAGAGAATCATTTGTAGATCAGCTCATAACTTATGAATGTTATTTGGACTCTCCTCACCTCAGTTTCCTCCTTTGTAAGTAGGAATGAGATTATTCACCCTACTTATCTCCTAGAGCTGTTGTGAGGCTCAGCTAACTTGATGAAAGTTTTTATAAAAATATAAAAAGGTTTTATAAAATTATAAAGCACTATACATGGTTGACTAAAGTCTTAATGTTTATCCTTATTAAATGATAAATGGAATTACTAGATGTGTAGCTTAATCTATGAAGAATAAGCTAAAATGAGACTAAGTTTGGGATATATGTCAGGGAGTGATGGGGTGGGGGTAATGTTTGTAGAGTCTTTGGTCCTGACCTCCCTTTCCTTTTGCCCTTCCCAGAGCGCTTTGACCATCATTGTCCCTGGGTCGGAAACTGTGTTGGCAAGAGGAACTACCGTTACTTCTACCTCTTCATCCTTTCTCTCTCCCTTCTCACCATCTATGTCTTCACCTTCAACATAGTCTACGTGGCCCTCAGTGAGTAAAGATGGAGATGAACATTTGGAATTCTCAGGGAGCTGACGTCAGCCCTGGAGATCCGGGACAGGATATCATCATAACTGGCTCTCTGAATTTGGTGGGGATGGGAATTACTGGGAATGAGAGGGGCCTCCTTAGCCTTCTTCACTCCAACAAGTCTTTATTGAGGCCAACTATAGGGTCAGCCCCCTGTAGTAAAACCACCTTAGTAGCTTAGCATATTAGAAAGAGCCCTGGACTTAAAATATCTGGCTTCAAATACCAGTTTTGCTGGAAGTGACCTTGGGTGAGTCATTTAACCTTTGTTGGCTTCAGTTTTCACATGAATAAAATGAGAGGGCAAGGCTGGATGACCTGTAAGGTTCTTTCCAGCTTTAGACCTTATGATCACAGTTAAAGATTTTTTCACTCCCTGGCCTATCCTTTTTACTTCCTGCATCAGTTTTACCCTTAGAGAAGCCTTTGGCAATTAGGCCGTCTGCAGGGGACATTTCTGAGGCCTGTTACAGAGGGAACAAGGCTGTTCAGTGGCCATATATCCCATGGCTGCTCCTTTACGTGTGTGTGTGTGTGTGTGTGTGTGTGTGTGTGTGTGTGTGTGTGTGGCTCAACCTGGGTAGAGAAAAGGAAGATAGAGTGGAAGGTGGATTCTGATTCCATGACTGGGCCCTGGGGAAAACCAAAAAAAGCTACAGAAGAGAAATGGCCTTTGCAGAAGCCAGAATAAAGGGACTTCCACCTGTCAGAGCCATGTGACCAAAGAAAGAGGAGAAGGGTACCCAGAAGGCAAGTGGGTATGCTGCTTTTCTTAACAAGATCACTAACTTTTCTCTTTACTTCTTTCCCACAGAGTCCTTGAAAATTGGCTTCCTGGAGACGTTAAAAGAAACTCCTGGAACATATCCTTGCCTTGGAAAGACTTTCTCTTTGTGTCCCTTCCCACTTGGTTCCCTCTCACTCCTTATCACTGAATTCCTCAGTCTTGGACCCTTTTGGGGGTTTCCAAGGCTACAAATAACATGACATGGGTAGAGCTGACCAAACCAAAGAGTTGTCAGACTGGGAGAAAGCTTAGCATCTATATCAACCCCCCTCATTTTTCAGATGTTCTAAAGGAGACCTAGAGGAAGGGAGTGATTAGGTCAAGGTCACATAGCTAAGAAATATCAGAGCCAGGGACTTGACCTTCCTGTCTTCTGACCCCAAATTTAATGTTCTTTTTCACAATGCAGTGAAAATCTAAAAGTAGATTCAGATGGGGACCAGTGGTGATGATCAGTCCAAATCTGTAATAATTGCATGGAACACACATCATAGGGAAGGAACGGGAAGCTGTAGGGAGAGGTATTTGTCTTTCTCTTTGTCTTCTGCCCATTCGGGAGCTGCTTGACTTTATTTACCTTTCTTGCTTTTTTTTCTTTCTGAATACCTTTTTTAAAAGGTATAGATGAAAGTAGCAAGGTATAGTGGAAAGAGCCTTGGATTTAGAGTTAGAAATCTGGGTTTGGTTCTTGGCTTCTTTCACTTACAATTTATTAAGAAAAAGGAAAATGTTTTGGGAGCTAGTCTCTAACCTTTTTGTAGTTGCCTTTGAAGGCCTCTCATCATCTAGCTTATTCCCTGGCGTGGAGTCAGAGGGCCTGCATTCAAATCCTGGTTCTGCTACTTGCTTTGTGGCCTTGGACAAGTCACTTTCCTCTCTTGGTGTCTTACATTTATGCATTTGTAAAATGAGAGAATTGAACCAAGCCTCTGAGATCCTTTTCAGCTCTATGGGCTTGGAACTAGATAACCTTGCGTGTCTCCTAGCTAGATCCAGTGATCCTTCTGTGTTCCTTAACTTGGGCCCACTGTGCTGGAAGTACTCATCTGCTTCTTCACCCTCTGGTCTGTTGTGGGGTTGACAGGATTTCATACGTTCCTCGTGGCCCTCAACCAGACAACCAATGAAGATGTGAGTAAAGGCTTCCCTCTTGGTGCTATCCACCTCCCTCTGCCCCAGGGCCTCCTTTCTCTCAACCCAATAGCAAATTGAGACTTTAAGGCCCTCCACATGCATAGGTGGACTCTGGAGGAATCCCAGCCTTGGAGAAAGGAAGACATGGAAACCTGGAACTCTGCCTTACCTGGAGTTGTTGAATATATTTGAAAGCCCAAGCAGGTTCAGAGAGGGTACCAAGCTGTAACGATCAGCAATGGGGAAACTAGTGTGTTCAGAATCTATTCTTAATCTGCAGAGTTGGCAACGGGGAGGCAGAGAAGCCATTCCCCATTAGAGATGATTTGGGTTGAAAGATCCTGGATGGGGCTGCCCCAGGCCTGCAATTCCGACGGTCTTATTTAGTCCAGCAAATATTTGCTTAAGTCTCTTGTGTGTGTAGGACAATTAAGTTCTTGGGGCTGTCAGTACCAGAAACAGAGTGACCTCAGGCATGCTAGGCAGTAGGGAGCACAGGCCCAAAGGAAAAAGGAGGGAGGGAAGGACCTTTCCTTCAAGGAGCTGATAATCCAGGTTTGAAGAGAGAACCTCATGGGAAATGACATGTCTGTATACAGAGAAACATGAAGCCGCACAAGTGGAGGGGATTCCCATAAGGGCAGAGCTAGGGCTGCGGCTAAACACAGAAAGCTTAGTTCGGAAGAAGGGGGATGGGTGAGAATTGGCGGCTAGGTGGAGGAGGAGGGCGTTCCAGGTGGCAGAGATGGCGTGTGCGATATTGTACAGCATAATATTGTAGTTATCTGTGAGTTGTGTCCCCTCCAAAACCGTGGGTTCCATAAAGGCAGGTATCTTCGGTTATCTAATCATCAGACACACATATATTCATACACGCACATACATGCACAAATACACGAACACACACATGTACTTGTGCTCACACGTGCCTGTGCTTGCATACACACATGCGCACGTGGAGGTGTGCACACATGCCCAGACATAGCCCAAGCACTGAGCACAGCACTCTGCACACAGTAGGTACCTAATGTTTTTAATCATCTAAACTTTGCTAGGTGCTAGGGGACAGAAAAGTTTGAGTATCTAGTTCAGTGAACACTTAAGCACCTACTGTATGCACCATACTACTCACTATTGAGGGAAAACCAGTGCAAGAAATAAGTGCTTAATACATTTGTTGAACCCTGTGCCAAGGCACATGTTGTCTGAATATATGGAAAGGAAGTAGATTTTTATTGTTGGGGCAAAGGCTTCAGGGGGAATGAAGATGGAGGAAGCTTAAGAAATGGGACTCTGGGGAAGTGCTCAGCTGGACAGGAAGGCCCTCAGAGCCTGGTGTGGGCTATCTAGATTTGGCAGAAGGAGTCTTTGCCCTTGTCTTGCAGATTAAAGGTTCCTGGACAGGGAAGAACCGAGTGCAGAACCCATACAGTCATGGCAACATCCTAAAGAACTGCTGTGAGGTGCTGTGTGGCCCCTTGCCTCCCAGGTACGAGTGGGCAGGCGGGACCGGCCTAATCTTCTCCTGCACCTTCTGCTGACTTCTGAGGGGAGGGTCTCTTTTGGCCAAACTTTGGCACTCTCACTGTGTGAAAGCTCCCCTTTTTACAACACTTTGAGATTTTACCAAACACTTTTCTTGAAATGAGGCGAGGCGGGAGGAAGTGCAGATATTATTCCCTACTGTACAACTAGAGAAAATGAAACTCCAATAAGTGACTTGTCCCAGGTTACATGGCTAAGTGGCAGCGTTTTCCAATCTGGGCTGCTTCCACCTTTTCTGTGCCCTGGCCCCCTTTGAAACCTGTGGATAAGCTTTCTCAGAATCGTGGTCATAAATGCATAAAAAAAAGGATGACAGAGGAAATTAGTTAGAATGAAATAGTTATCCAAATGTATCTTTTCTGAAAAGTTCACTGACTCTAAGGTTCCGAACCCTGGCTTTAAAGTCTGGCTGACCTTGCTGTGGTTGGGAAGGGGCCTGGCCGCCACAGGTAGCCGTTGATTTCAAATTTGGATTGGCCTGAACTAGACCCTATAGTGGGGGAAATATGAAAAGATAAAGGCTGAAATCAGAGGGAGGAGAGAGGGAAATGGGAACTTGTCCCCCAAGCAGAGCCTAGTTGGCCTAGGAGCCTGAGAAAACATCAAAGGTTAGGGCAGGATCAGCAGAAGTAAGTGCTACTTTCCACAAAGGTCAGGGGTGGAGTAGGGTTGGGGTCAGAGAATAGAGTCAAGCTGCCTCTCCTCTGCAGTGTGCTGGATCGAAGGGGCATATTGCCACTGGAAGAAAGTGGAACTCGACCCTCAAGCACTCAAGAGGCCAGCAGCAGCCCATTTCCACAGAGCCCAGTAAGTGTTCCTATGTCTTCCCTATCTGATAAAAGAACAGCTCCCATTTCTTCAGCACTTTGAAGGCTTATTATAATGTGATACAGCAAGCCAGTGAGGTGGCTAGTGTGAGAGTGTTTATTTTTCCTTCAGAAAAAAAAAATTGATCATTATTCCAGTGGGAGGGAAGAATGAATATCAAAGGTGAAAATTCCTTTTGGGTCATGTATCTTTATAGGTTTAGCAGTTATTTTGACACCTGTGGCACCAACATTTGTACTCACGTAATTAATTGGCTGGAAGTGCAAGTATTATTTTCATTCTACAGATGAGGAAACTGAGGTCCAAAGAGGGAAAAGGAACCTCCAGGTCAACATGACCAGCATCAGAGCTAGAAATTGAACTCAGGTCTTCTGCCTTAAGACTTGTTCTCCCACACCATCCTTCTTTTTCACTCCCTTTTGTGGTGATAGCAGCTCTGGTAGAGGTATCTCTCTCTCTCTCTTTGCAGCAGCGTGGTGTAGTGGGAAGAGGGTCTAACTTGTCAGGAGAGACCTGAATTGATTCGTCCCCCTTGACACTTCCTGGCTTCATGACCTTGGGCAAGTCATTTAACCTCTTAATGCCCCAGGCAACTCTCTAGAAGTTGTAGGGGCAGCTAGGTGGTGCTATAATACATAGAGCACCAGCCTTAGTCAGGAGGACCTGAGTTCAAATGCGGTCTCCAACACTACTAGCTGTGTGACTCTGGGCAAGTCACTTCACCCCCATTGTCTCAAAAAAAAAAAAAGACAAGAAGTTATAGAACAGTCCCTAAAAGTCATTGGTAGTCTCCCGACTACCAAGTTCCTGTCTTGTACACGGATTGCCAGTTAAAGGCATCTCATACTTAACATGTCCACAACAGAACTCATTATCTTTTCTCCCAAACCCACATCCCTTCCAAACTTCTTATTTCTCCTGAGGGCAGGCACCTGGAGTTGAGACCTTGGCGTCATACCCCACAGAGCCAATCGGGTTGCCAAGTCTTGATTCTCGTCTGCCCCTTTTCTCACCCGCACCACAACTGTCCTCACTTAGGTTCTCATCTGGACTATTGCACTAGCTTCCTTATTGGCCTCCCTTTTCCAATTCGTGTTCTACACAGCACAAGGGCCTATCTGGGCCTCAGTTTCCTTCTCTGTAAGATAAGAAGTGTTTACCCTGTGTTTGGTTTGAGTGTTGTTTTTCTTTGGTTTTGTTATAAAGGTTACAATTATAGTAATAATAAAAGAAAATGAAGACACTGGACTCAGATGGTCTCTACGGTCCCATGACCAGATTTGGAAATTGAGCGTGGTGCAGTGTATTCAATCCTGATTGTGAATTTGAAGGAAACTTTTATTTCAATCTATTTGTTCTCTCTTCTCCCTCAGGTGGTCCCCACAGAGCCATTGAGCTCGAATGAGCTGCCCCTGAAAGCCTATGCTCCTGAGGAGATGCAGTCCAGTGCTGTGGCCCAACAGAGTCCAGAGTCCCCAGAGACTCCCCAGGAGGCCTCTGGAGCTGAGAACTAGCTTCTTTGGGCAGCAGAGAGAGACCTGTGTTTTTCTTTAATGAGAGCGGAGAGTGATTGAGGGGGAGAAGACAACCTTGAGACAGAGGGCAAGTGAGCCATCCCTTTTGCCATTTTTTTTTGGTCTCTGTTCACCTAATTCCGGATTGGAATATTTTCTATACAAGCTATTTTTCCTAGACTCCAGGAAATAGCAGAGTGATGTCCATTACATATAGTAGCTTGAAACTTGGGTTTCAAGGGCCTTGGCCTCGAGTTCCCTTCGGGTCCCTTCTCTGGCTCTGTTAAGGGAAGTAGGGAGAGTTGTTGACATCCCATTACTTGTCCCTGGACCAGAGATAGCTTCACAGGCTTCTGTCCATTGAATCCCCAAAGGGCCCAAATGGAAACAATTTGAGCTCTATTTCCGCCTCCTAGTTGGAGGAGAGGAATGGGGATGGGACAAAGCTGTGACTGGCAAAGTCTTAGTGCCGTTGGTGCCATGCCAGTTCATGCCTGTGGGGTGGGATCCTTCTGGACACTTGTATTTATTAATGTAGTTTCCTTCTTCAGTCTCCCTCCCCATTCTCTACCTCTCTGACCCCCTTCTTTTTCAATTAGATAGAAGTTAGTAGGAATAGTTAGTGAGTTAACAATTTGCAGTTTTCATAGCCCAACCCAAAACTTTGTAATGTCTGTGCCACCCTCAGTAAGAAATTGTGTGATGCCAATAGCTACAGCCCCACTGTTCTCTCTGTCTCTCTCTTTATCTGTTTCTCTCTGTCTCTTTCTCCCCCCTTTTCTAATAATCCTATTCAGACTCTTGCTCCATTTGGGAGCAGTAACTAACAGCTAAAAAGTCTGCACTTTGGTGCCTCCTTTTCTGCAAGGGGTTTTGCAAGTGTTCATAAATGCTACCCCTTTGCCCACCCCGCCAACTTCAAGTTCAGTCCATGAGGCCTCCAGTGGTCTCGAGTGCACAAATGAATAAATTGAGGCACAAAGGAATGGCTTCAGAGCCGGATGAGAAGGGGAAACCTCCTGCCGGTTAACTCACAGGCCTTGGCCAGTGTTTCCTTCCTTTGCCCTCTTCCCTTAGGGCTAACTCTCATAGCACTTCTGCTGGCCTCTGTTCATGCGGAGGCCCAGGATGATCCCCACTCCTACCCCCCACCCCCCAGTGGTGGGCTGGGTCCCCCGTCCAGCATTTGGGGGACCGGTTTTCTCCAGCCCTCAGCTGCGCTTCAGGGATAAGGATTTGTGTATCAAATGCAGCTGTGTTTCTGAGAGAGTCTATGTTCTCCCCTCCCTTTCTAAACTAAGGGGTCCTGTGGAGATGACTTCAGTGGGGAGAGGGTTAACCAGGGCTTTTTATCTGTTTGAAGGTGATTAAACTGTGTTGATGCAAACTGCCTGCCTGCTTCCTTCCATTTTTAAAGCGACTGTGGGGTTGTGTGTGGTGCAGGAGTGTGTCGGGGTGGGGACCGAGAGCTACTTGTGGAAAAGCTCCTACCCAGGCCCACATTTGCCTGGGGGGGGGCTGTCCTATGGAGGAAGAAGACTGGCCATGGTCACAGGGACACTCAGCTGCTCATCTAGCTATGAGCCAGTTTTCCTTAACCATGGCCCAGGAAGAAAGGGTTTTAGAGATAGTTTCTAGTGAGAACTAGGTGGCAGGGGCTATGTTTAATCTATCAAGGAGGAGAAATCATTTCATTTCTGTGAGACTCAGGAAAATGGGGTGGGGTGCACAAGATGATCTTCAAGGTCCCTTCCAGCTCCGGGTCTTGCAAGCGCATCTCCAAACATGTCATTGCCTGTATATGCAAGTGGAGGCTCCTAATGATAAGTGCTCTTAGCACTTGTTAAAATAGGTCTGTGAGAGCCTCCCTTTGGAAACTGTTAGCAGTTCTCAAGAAATAGAAGCCTGCATTTCCTTAAAAAGACAGACTTAAAAAATTTCCTTAAAAAAACTGAGTCTCCCCCTCATCTACAGCTGGGGAAACTAAGGCCTAGAGAGGTGAAATGACTTGCCAAGGGTCACAGAGCTCAGGCTCTTCCCTAGGGCTTGACTCTAGGTTCTCTGAAACCCAGCCCTGATCGCTTTCTACCTAACAGAGTTCCAGAAGGCACCATCTACAGGACTTATTATCACCCACGTTGTCCCCTGATCTGGGCTCAGTTCTCCCCATCCCGTTCCCCTCCTACTGTGAAAAGGTGGTTTGGTCATCTCACAAACCACTATGCTATGCTAGATTTCTCTGACAGGAAGGGGAAGAGTGGGGAGTTCCCTTGGTCTAGTGTGAAAGAAAGAACCTCTTCCCCTATTTAGTTTCTGTTCTGCCATATTGAGCTGTTTCCACCCCCAACCTCCAGCCTACCCATCATCCTTTTTCTTCTTGACTCTTTCATCTGTTTTTGAGACCAGCCAGGAGAGCTGGCCCATTGAGACTGCTCACCGGCCAGGACAGTCCTGGAACTCCATTCTGATCTCAGGGGAGATTGGAAGATTGATCTTTCCCACGGGAATAGCCCTATAATTGTTTTGTCTTTTCAATGACTGAGCCTTCTCTCCAGCTCCCTTCCACACACTCTTCCCCCCCCCTTTCCCCTGCAAGGCAACTCCCAAGTGTCCCACTTCCCCAGACTGGTTGGCAGCAGTCCTGAAATCCCACACTATGGAGAGCTGTGGCTATTCTTGACTATTCCCTTCATGCCCAAGTGGCCTTGGGATCCTCGATTCTGATCAAGATCACCACTTCTCCTTTTGTTCTCCAAGCCTCCCCCCCCCCCATAGCTGGGATTGTGTCTGGGCTGAATTCCATGCCTCCTATTCTGACTAAATTTCTACTTGTTGCTAAATAACTTAAAAATATACTTTTCTTTTAAATAGATGTGCTAATTTAATATGTATTCTGCACTTTGGTGTGAATTAAGATGTGTATTGATTTCTGTTCTACCTCTTGCTATTTATTACTGAAGCAATCTTTTTTTTTCTTTGAAACCAATTAATGAGACTTGAATTGGTTTGAGAAATTCATAGATGTGTGTATGTGCTTCTGCCTCATTTCTCTCCTTGTGTGTAGTTTGAGTGGACCCCCACCCCCCACTCATGTTGGGAATGGCCCCTTCCTTTTGGGGTGAGAGGCTCTTTGTGGAATTCCCCTTTGTGTCCCCTTGGATTGACTGAAGTGGTAACCTAGCAACTCTCCCACTTTTCTAGGCCTTAAACCTTCATGAGTCAGTTTGTTCTAGTTTTAACTGGTTTTGCTTTGCCTAGACTAGGAGAAATTGAAAACCTGGGCCATGATATCCTACATTGACACATTTACTTCTGGTACAAAGGGCTTATACATTTAGCCCTCACAACTCTGTAAGGGACACAGGGTAGGCAGTGTTCTTTCCATTTTACAGATGAAAAAACTGAGGCTCAATGAGACACAGTGACTTACCCAGACTCATAGCTAGTAAGTGCCTTAACTCTAAAATGGAGCACCCAAATTTTGATAAACTCTACAATGGGAAAAGTACTTTGAAGCTGGGATATTTGAAACTGAGGGCATTTCTTGATTGAGCAGGAAGGGGAAGAACTCTGGGAATCCTGAAGGGCAAGGGGGCTTTTCTTGAATCTCAAGACTTTGGAAGACTAAAGTTGAGGAGTGGGGAGAACTGGGGATGGCATTGGGGGAGCCAATAGACTGAGATTCAGAGCTCTTTTCTTCTTCAGCATTCCCTCTGACTCCCAGGGGCCTTGCTGTTGGGAGGAATGAGACTCATTTTAAAGAAGGGGAAACCAAGGGCCTCAGAGAGGAAGGAACTTGTCCAAAATCACAGGTGCTAAGTGGCAAAGCCAGGATTCAAATTCAGGACTCTTTCTAGTCTTCCTGGACCCTTCATTCTCCCATTGACCCCAGCTGGGAAACCCTCATTCTGAATTTCCTGACTCTGGAATTTTCTTAGTCCCAATGGCTCATAGATTGTTAGGAATGAAAGGATCCTTAGATATCATCTAAGCCATCTAACCTTAGATATCACCAGCCCAACTCTTTCATGAAGAGGAGGAAACTGAGGCCCAGGGAGGTGAGCACTTTACCCAGATCCATCCTTCCTCCACTTACTGGGATACTCAACAGTATGGTTGAAAGAGTCCAGGTTTGGGAATCACAGAACTTGGCTTCAGATCCCTATCACACAATTCCCTGGGTGATCCTGGACGAGTCCTGTGCTGTATGTGTGTTTCCCTCATTTTGCTTCCTCCACTGACACAAATTCCAGCTCCTACTTCTGCAGGGGGTCTTTAAGAGTTCTTCCAGCCAGCCCGGTGATGAGCAGCCTCTACTTACCTAGCTAGGTTGGTTTATCTCTGTTGGTAGAGCGTTCAAGAACCCCGGAGTCACCTCCATTCCATGAGGAGGCTTCAGCTGAGGAAACTAATGCAGGGCACTCATTTTATAGAAGAGGAAACTGAGGCCCTCACTGATGCTTTGAAGATGGCAATTTACCTTTTGAACTCTGGATGTCAAAGTGAAGTAGAACTTTCTAGACCCAACCCAGGCTGGCCTGCTTGTGTGCATCGTTTTGAAAGTTGACTGTACAAAGGCCTGTCATGAGCTGGGAATTCAGTGTCTGAGCCAAGGGAAGCTCAATTGCTGATAGGAGTGGATAGAGCACTGGGCCTGGAATCAGGAAGGTCTATTTGCCCCGGTTTCCTCATCTGTAAAATGGAGATAATAACAGCATCTGCCTTCCAGAGTTGTTAGGAGGATCAAATAAGGTAATATTTGTAAAAGTGCTTAGCACAATGCCTGGCACATAGTAAGTGTTAACATAAAAAATGCTTATTCCCTTCCCTTTCCACCCCCACTCCCCGAGGGAGCTTGTAGCTCATGAGAAAAAGCTGTCTCCAGCTTTAAGAGGTACCCCCTTTGAATGTGTCTCAACTTCAGTAATACTACTATGGTTGTATGGTAAATTATGTACCTAGAATGTGTGTGTGTGTGTTCTGCTTTTAATCAAATATAGGCATAATATTGGCCCAATCACTGTTTTTCACAACAAAGTCACTAAAATCTGTCTTTGTATTATGAGATCCTGGAATGTCATGACTGAGAGAGACCTCAGGAAGTTGGGGCCTAAAGAGGGGAAAGGACTTGAAGGTTACCTAGGTATTAAGTGGAGCCAAGATTTGAACTTCTCAAGGTCTCAGTTTCCCCTTCTTTAAAATGAGTTGACTGTCTGGTGCCCTTCCCAGCTCTAAATCCTCTTGACTTACTGCTTAAAATCTTTCTAACCTCCCCTGCATTAGGGCTGTAAGTGATGGGTGGGACTTTGTACACACAGAAAATCAGGAAGTTGTCTGTCAGGTTCCCACAGAAGTTTGGCCAGCCCCTTTGTGTGGGTCCATTGCCCTGGGGTCCTTCTGATGCTATCTCTGGTGTGCCCCATCAACTGCTCCCAGTGGACCACAAATGCTATATTGGTAATGAGGCCATTACTCTTATAGGAAAAGGTGAAATCTGCAAATCAAGTGGTATAGAATTCTGTATATTTAAGACTTTCCTGGAGGAGGAGACTTGAGCTTGATGCGTGTGTGTGGTGGTGGTGGGGGGGCAGTTCCTTCCCATTTAATTGTGTTGTGGCCTGAATAGCTGTTCCCATTGCCCACTGTTTTGTGCCTGGGTAACGGAGCCCTATTGTGAGGTCTCCATCTCCTCCCAGCTGGGAAACCTCATTCTGAGTTTCCTGACTCCGGAATTTTCTTAGTCCCAGAGGATCATAGATTGTTAGCGATGGAAGGACCCTTAGATATCATCCAGTCCAACCCTCTCATGAAGAGGAAGAAACTGAGGCCCAGAGAGGTGAGAGCCAAGATTCAAACCCATGTCCTCTCTACCATGTTTCCATAGCTATTAAGCTAATAATAGCTACTGCAGCTCCCTGTGTGAAAGAGGTAGGGCTCCCTGTAATGCCAGGTGCAGGCCATAAGAGCCTGGAAACTTGGCCAAAGTCACATAGTTAAGAAGTATTAGAGCCAGGATTAAACCCTGATCTGAGGCTAGGTTCATAGTCTATGATAGGGAGTGTGAGTGTGTGTGTGTAACCATTGAATCTCTGTGGCCTATCTCTAAGGGTAGCTGCATCAGCCAACAAAGCATTAGGCTAAAGAGAAAGAGAAGATGAAAAATCATCGAGAAATGGATGGGTGCCACTTCTCCATAGGGCCCCAGGGGATATGCCTAAACTCACCAGCTCAAAAATGATTGCCTTGGACTCTATGGCTGTAACATTCTATAATGGTTGGGCAATTTTCCTTTTTTTTAATGGCCACGGTTAGAATGGTGAAAAGTGTCTTAAAAGTGTCTAAAACTCACTTCTGTCCTGAGTGGATCTTGGAGTGGGGGAGGAATGAG